TTTTATCCAGCTGTATTTACTCCGTGCAACTTATAACATCCAATTGAAAGATATAACACAAACATGTCATAACACAAAAAAAAAAAAAAAAGTCACCCCATTGTGTCAGTATTTTGTTGAACCACCTTTTGCTTTAATTACAGCCTTTAGTCTGTTGGGATATGTCTCTACTAACTTTGCTCATCTAGACTTTGCAATATTTGCCCACTCTTCTTTGCAGAACTGCTCAAGTTCAGTTAAATTTGATGGTGAACGTTTGTGGACTGCAGTCTTCAAGTCATTCCACAGATTTCCAATGGGGTTTAAGTCTGGGCTCTGACTAGTGTAAAATAAATTACTAGATTTACTAATATTATTATACTGTAAAACTAAGTTACAGTAAGGATATAGTACAGTAAAATTAAGTTGCGGTAAGGGTGTTTTACTGTAAAATGAAATTGCGGTAAGACCATCATATTGTAAAATGAATTCGCGATAAGCTACTGTAAAGGGGTAGTTACAGTAATTTACTGGCAATAGTGCTGCCAGTAAGTTACCGCAAAAATACAATAAAAAGTCTAACAGAGAGGCCATGCAAGGACATTCACATTTTTCTCCTTCAACCACTGTGTGGTCAGTTTTGCTGTGTGCTTTGGGTCATTGTCACGTTTGAAGTACCCGCTTCCCACTGACAACTTCCTGGCAGAGGGCAGCAGATTTTCCTCAATAATTTGACGGTGTTTTGCCCCATCCATTTTTCCTTCTATCCTGACATGTGCTCCAATCCCTGCTGCAGAGAGACACCCCATAACAGGATATCACCCCCTCCATGCTTTACTGCAGGAATGCTGTTATTTGGATGGTGAGCTGTAGGATTTCCGCCAGACATATCGTTTGGTGTTGAGGCCAAATAATTAAATTTTAGCCTCATCTGCCTCAGAATCTTCGAAGCTCAGTCGTGACTGCATGTGGTCTTTCTTGAGGAGTGGTTTTCTTCTTGCAACCCTCCACAATTGTGGAGAATTTGTGATATTGTTGTCTCATGCACGCAATGACCATTTCGTCATAAATTCCTGCAACTGCTTCAGAGCTGCTGTTGCTCGCCTCTCTGACCAGTTTCCTCCTGGCTCTTTCATTCAGTTTGGAGCGACGTCCTGATCCAGGATTCAGGGTCTGTGTTGAACCAAATACCTTCCACTTCTTAATAACAGACTTCACGGTGCTTCTAGGCATTGATAAAGCCTTTGAACTTTTTTGTATCCATTTCTTGACTTGTGCCTGTCCACAACTTTATCCAGGAGATCCTTTGACAGTGCATTGCCACCCATAGTTGATTGTTTGCTTCAGTTGCACTACCAAGAACTGAAAAGCTCCAGAAAAGCATTTTTCATGCTGAGCTAATCAGACTGACCACAGCTGATCACAGTTGAAAGTCAAATGGCTATTAGCTACTCCTGATTTAGTTTACAAGTCATTTTTAGGATGGGGGGTGATCCTTTCTCCAACTCAGTGATTCTGATTTTCTATTTTTTTTTCTGACATGTGATATATCTTTTATTTGGAAGTTGTACTGAGTAAATACAGCTGGATAAAACTGTGTCCGTCTTCATTTCAGGCTACAAAGCAACAAAATATGATTATTTAAAAGGGGGGTATTCTTTTCTGTACTCACTGTACATTCAGTACTACTATGACAGCAGAGGTGCCCGGATACGAGGAGGGCTGTAACTGTGCGGAAGCCAGATGCATTTGTTATTGAAACTTGGGTTTTCTAAGGAGAGTGAATAATAGGTAAGGGCTGGATATGGAGTAAATTATTTATTTAGTTAGTTCGTTAGTAAGTATTGTTTATCCCTGCGTCTGACATTGTTTCCTCACACATTCAAAGTACCTGGAACTGATATTCTCTGATGAATGCAGTTCCAGGTCGAAAGGGCCTTAACTATCGGCGTGTCCTCAGAGCGATTACATGCTCTATACTACGTGTTGCTCCAGCTGTATGAACACAGATGCGTAAATGCTGCTGCAAATATGCTTTTTTCAATTAGCAGACCAGGTAATATACACAGCGATATGGATTAAAACAGCATTCACTTATCTTAGATGTGGATTTCAGATGTTCTGAAACACGCTGCAACAGTTTGATTTGCGAGCAGCGATGCTTAATTTGCTCCGAAGCAAGCTGAAAAGCTGCTGAATATAACTGAATACAGCTTATATAGAAATGCCGCGATAGGTGTCGTATTCCTATAGGTAGATGTGATCAGCTGAGAATCAGCTGATGCAAACTTGACTCACGTGACCTGCCAGAACTAACGCTAAAGCTTAATTTATGTTTTGCTTGGGGATCAAATACTTATTTCACTCACTCTAATGCAAATCACTTTTTAACCTTTATATAATGTTTTTTCCTGTTTTTTTTTGGTTGATATTCTGTCTCTATCCGTTAAAATAAACCTACCATAAAAATTACATACCCTTCATTTTTTTGTAAGTGGGCAAACTTACAAAATCAGCAGGGGATCAAATAAATGTTTCCCCACTGTACCTCAGTGATACTAAAATAACATTACTTTACAATAAGGTGACAGTGTAGGATGTGTATGTTGGGGGATGGAGAGCACACTTTTGAAAATCTGCTTAGGGCCCCCATAATGCTAGGGCTGGCCCTGTTCAGGTCAGAAGCGGCGTGGATGCTTGCATGTCAGAAATAGAGCGGGACATCAGTTTACTTTCAGAGATCTGTTGTGTCAATCCGTGCCTCATCCAGTGTAGACAGAATCGCAAATTATAATGGGGTCTGTTGTCTATAGTCACGTTGCACCGCTCTCATCCGGTGTAAACACAGGGTAAAATTAGCAAAGAGCTCCAGACTGTGTCAGTGAAACACTGTTTGTTTGTTTGCTTTATTTTGCTACTGATTCATTTTTTTTAAACAAGACAGTATAATGCAGGCTTTTCAGAGAGACTGAATGTAAACGATGATGCAGTGCCGAGTCTGACTAGAGTGGATCCAACTGTAATGTCGCAACACATAAGTGTGAGTAAACGGGCTTTATTACTATTGCATTGTCTGTTCCAGACCGTTTGATATATACTGAGCATTTATAGATTTTTAACCCAAATGGCCCATGTTGTTTTCAGAGTATGACACAGTATCGTCCATTTAATAAGTGAAACTGTTAACCAATCATAGCAGTGGGCGTTTACTTGTGAGTCTTGAATGCGCCCCGCCTAAAAAATGCAGTTCATGACCACTTTAAAGGGGGGGTATTCTTTTCTGTACTCACTGTACATTCAGTACTACTATGACAGCAGAGGTGCCCGGATACGAGGAGGGCTGTAACTGTGCGGAAGCCAGATGCATTTGTTATTGAAACTTGGGTTTTCTAAGGAGAGTGAATAATAGGTAAGGGCTGGATATGGAGTAAATTATTTATTTAGTTAGTTCGTTAGTAAGTATTGTTTATCCCTGCGTCTGACATTGTTTCCTCACACATTCAAAGTACCTGGAACTGATATTCTCTGATGAATGCAGTTCCAGGTCGAAAGTCTTTGCTGAGTCTATATACAGTGTAGAGAGTTTCTCTTTAAACATGCTTTGAAACATCTCATCCCTCCCTCTGGGTATTTTATTTCTGCTGAATGTGATGTAGCTGTGTGTGCACTGATCTGACCAGTTTCACTACAGGTCTCCACAAGTATGCTGTTGCTTTCTGATCTTTAAGGAATGATTTAGGTGTTTCAATGGACATTAGTACTCACTAAAATACTAAAAAAGAACAGCCTGTCTGAAAGTGAGCACACCTGAGAAATTCTAATTTAATAACAATATACTTTCTAGTTGTTCCCTTTTTATTTACTAATTGACAGAAACACAGAACAATTAAGAGAATGCAATAATTAAAATAAACCAATGAGTATAAAACAATCAGGTACTTAATAATCAATGAATAATTCAATGTAAAAAAAAAAAAGACACAATCGCGCGAAAAACAAAGACGCCACCTGTAGACTTCATATCCCATGCTTCTTTGTACCGCTAAAACTTCACATTCTCTGATTGGTTGCTTGTTTCCAGTAGGCGGGAACTGTGTTTTATAGGCGCGTCCTTACATTCTGAGTGGCTGTTGTGGCTGTGGGGGGTGGTATTCTTTTCTGTACTCACTGTACATTCAGTACTACTATGACAGCAGAGGTGCCCGGATACGAGGAGGGCTGTAACTGTGCGGAAGCCAGATGCATTTGTTATTGAAACTTGGGTTTTCTAAGGAGAGTGAATAATAGGTAAGGGCTGGATATGGAGTAAATTATTTATTTAGTTAGTTCGTTAGTAAGTATTGTTTATCCCTGCGTCTGACATTGTTTCCTCACACATTCAAAGTACCTGGAACTGATATTCTCTGATGAATGCAGTTCCAGGTCGAAAGTCTTTGCTGAGTCTATATACAGTGTAGAGAGTTTCTCTTTAAACATGCTTTGAAACATCTCATCCCTCCCTCTGGGTATTTTATTTCTGCTGAATGTGATGTAGCTGTGTGTGCACTGATCTGACCAGTTTCACTACAGGTCTCCACAAGTATGCTGTTGCTTTCTGATCTTTAAGGAATGATTTAGGTGTTTCAATGGACATTAGTACTCACTAAAATACTAAAAAAGAACAGCCTGTCTGAAAGTGAGCACACCTGAGAAATTCTAATTTAATAACAATATACTTTCTAGTTGTTCCCTTATTATTTACTAATTGACAGAAACACAGAACAATTAAGAGAATGCAATAATTAAAATAAACCAATGAGTATAAAACAATCAGGTACTTAATAATCAATGAATAATTCAATATATATAAAAAAAAGACACAATCGCGCGAAAAACAAAGACGCCGCCTGTAGACTTCATATCCCATGCTTCTTTGTACCGCTAAAACTTCACATTCTCTGATTGGTTGCTTGTTTCCAGTAGGCGGGAACTGTGTTTTATAGGCGCGTCCTTACATTCTGAGTGGCTGTTGTGGCTGTCAATCATCAAGGCATTTCTAGTGTCTGGTTTCCTGTGTTACCGCCCTTGGGCTGAGACAGTGAAGACGGGTGTGGGATTTTTTTTTGCTCTCCGACCAGGAATAGGTCAATAAAGGGTAAAACGCTTGCAGGAATTTCATTAAGGTAAGACATATATTTCGTCCTCTATCAATGTGAGGTTAATATTAAGATAGAGGTCATAAATGTAGAGGTTTGTGTAGTTCAGGGTTAGCTGGCTAAGCGCTCGAGCGCTGATATCCGTATGAGCGTGAGCAGATGGGCCAACAGTTTACGATATTACACTTATCAAAAAAAATATCAAGTTATGTCATAATTATAGCACACTGAGCCTATTATATATACTCATTTATATATTAAACCAGATACATGATTAAAACTAATTAACACATGCTTCACTGATTTTGATCAAGGTGAGTCCATATGTGATATGGACGTTCATCATATTTAGTAAATCATGCATGTAACGTTACTGTCAAAACTACATAGACGTTCGATTCAGTCATAGCTGAATTAGAGTATAGTTGGACTAAATCTCACAATGCGTATTAATACATTATTTATGACTTGCTGGATTAGACATTTTGATCGCGCTGTGTGTAAATGAAGTTTTGTATTATTGGCCCTGTCTGTATGATTTTGTTGTACATATTTTTCTTTTTTACATGTGTATATTATTTAGTTGAATGTAAATTCTGCATGGAGACCCGTTTAGAAGCATTGCAGACGCTAAGTTACCCTTTATTAGAACATGCGCGCTGATGCGAATGCAAACCTCGCGCAGGTCAGTTGCATGTTTAAAGTCAGTTGTAATAATCATAGCTGTTATGATTATTAGGCTGTCTCGCGCACAACGGGCGTAGCTGTGAGTTCTCGTTATAACGGGTGTGGTCTCCACCCGGGGCGTGACTCTGCGTGGCTTTGCATAACTGACACATGGTATTTAATGCACATTATAGTATAACGCAATATAGAGCAGTGTTCATAAAGGCATTGTGTGTTAGAGAATGAAAACTGTTCCCAAACGAGCATGTTCTGTATTCAGAGATGATGATGGATGGTTTATAGAGTATCTATCTATCTATCTATCTATCTATCTATCTATCTATCTATCTATCTATCTATCTATCTATCTATCTAGCACAGACTGGTACAGAAATGTAGCTCTTTTCACAATGCCCAACTGAGGTCAAATTTGAAAATAGATGAGATCAGACATGATATGTAGCACTGCAACAGTGTGAAGGATCTGTGTTCTCCCTAGTTTGTCTAAGAACACCACCTGAAGGTTGGAAATCTGTTTGTAATGAGTTTTTCCCTTCCTGAAATGGCACTTTAAAGAGCACTTGTCTCAAGTAATGGTTGCTAGACCTCTTGCATAATAAACATTTCAAAACCCACCCTCCATCTGGGTTCCGTAAGCCACGGTCTCTGTCGCTGAGGAAGTGATGGATGAAAACGAACTGAAGAAAGGATTCTTATTGTTGTCACTCCAGCTAATTTTAGCTTTTCTTCCCTTTTTTCCCCCCATTTCTAGATTAATGAAGCAGATCTCCTCACATGTCCTCTTTTTAATTTAATTTGAGTTGTTCACACTGAACCAATACTGATAACAGTGAGTCAGTTATATACACTACCTTACAAAAGATGTATAAATGTATAGTTTAAAGGGGTCATATGATGTGATTTCAATTTTTCCTTTCTCTTTGGAGTGTTACAAGCTCTTGGTGCATAAAGATCTGTAAAGTTGCAAAGACTAAAGTCTCAAATCCAAAGAGATATTCTTTATAAAAGTTAAGAGTCAGCCACACCTACCTAAAATGGCTCGTTCTAACACGCCCCCACATATCTACGTCATGATGTGGGAAGATTTGCATAATGCCGCCCAAATGTTCACGCAAAGAAAGAAGGCGTAACTCTTATTCTCGCTGTAGTATTGTTGTTGCCGCTGCCGCCACCGCCATGTCGTGAATGTGCTGTGTGTTTCGTTGTGAAGGCGAAACTACTTTGTTTGGCCTTCCGAACGAGGACGATATCCGCTTCGTCATGCCTAGAGCTGATCCGTGCTGGTCGCTGAGGAAATACATCAACTTCGCGCTGTGGATCGCCGGATCGGCTTTCACCGTGGACGAAGTGGAGTCCAGCCTGGGGTTGTCACATGTGGTTGCCGCAAGCCCGCCGGACGCTCTTTCGTCGAATCCGCCGGCCGCGCCGTTCTCAAGCCCGCCCGCTGTCACTCACTCAAGCCGGCCTCCGCTCCCTCTAGCCTGCCGTGTGTTTCGTTGTGAAAGCGAAACTACATTGTTTGGCCTTCCAAAAGAGGACACGACTAGAAATCAGTGGTTAAGTTGTATTTACAACACTGTTCCAGAACAGTTTAACCCAAATATTCAGATGTGTCCAGCGCATTTTATGGAGGACTGTTTCCTGATCCTGGTAGAGTATAGACTACAATGCCGACTGTTCTGACTCCCAGTCTGTAAGTACGTTTTTTTTATATTTAAAGAATTTGCCACTGACGATTCAAACGCGAGTTTTGAGCAGGGTAGCGTAGCACTTGTTGTTTGTCATTTCTCCGATCACAAATACAGACATGGTTTAATGTTTACACGGCGCGACGCGATGACAGTATAAGTCATTATAATCAGTAATAATGTCCCCACTGGATGCAACAAATGCCTCGTTTATAATGGGTTTTAATGTTTTTGTCTCGTCGCTGGTAAGGGGCATAACATTTCCGTCACACGCTTGAGGTATTCGGCCAATCACAATGCACTGGATAGCTGGCTAATCAGAGCACACCTCGCTTTTCAGACCAATGAGCTTTGTAAAAATCGACGCATTTCAGATAGGCGGGGCATAGAGGAGAAACAATGTACAGTATGTGGAAAATAATGTGTTTTTTGAACTTTAAACCCATGTGGATTCCAACCCAAACACATTTCATTACACCAAATACATAAAATAATGTTCTTTTTAGCAACATTATATGACCCCTTTAAATCAGCAGGGATGCATTAAATTGTCAAAAGTGAATAGATTTATAATATTACAAATATTTTGCATTCATAATAATAAGTAGGGATGCACTATCGGGCCCGATACTGGTCTCCTGTACTCGTACTCGTTAAAATGCCCCGATACCTAACGCCGATACCACACAGCATGTGATATGTGCCATATTCAAACAAAGAAACACCAACAACAGAAAGGAGTTAAGGATGTCTACTACGAAGTATATGTATGCAATTAATATAATGTTAAACATTCAGTATTAACGCCTGTATAGCTGATGTGCGCAAGTTGATAAACAAAGCACGCTGAGTGGATTGAGCGCGTGGTGGCGCAGATGCGCGAGCTTGTCGAGTGAATATACCTTTCTCACAGACATCGCTGGAAAGTTTGTAGTTCGGTCGGATATGTCAAAAACAAACAAGTAAGTAAGACAATGCACAAGTTACTTAACGGTAGGGAGAGAGAGAGAGAGAGAGAGAGAGAGAGCGCACTTCTGTTGTGTGATCTTTGATGTTCACTCACTGAGAACACGCATCATTTGGATTAAAACGAAATCATAAAAATAAAACCATTCATATGGGCATTTACTATAAACATAATTTATTTTCAACCTTAGGCTTACACGAATCTAGCAGCCTGTGTGAAATGCGCTAGGCTGTAGTGTACTTGTCCCTCTTATTCTGCATCAGTACAAATACCTGTGTTTTGGTTGCTTGAGTGTTTCTGCATTATATGAGTGGCTTTGGAATATAAATCACAGCACGTTTCAGATGAAAAAACGCGACTTCTATTTCTGAAAATATCACAGTTAGGAGATTTATAACGAGTGGTTCCCTGCATTATTACAGCAAAGCGTGTGATTACAGTTCTAAGCCGCTGCAATGGAGCAGCTCTAATGCTATTAAATTAAAGATGATGTACCATAGAGCAAAAAAATGAACAGTGAAAGTAACAAAAACTTGTAAAATACATTTTAATGGGCATAATTAAGTGTGGAAATAACCGAAGGATATACAGTGAAACCAAAAATTATTCAGAGACCAGATATACTTTTTTGATATTTTTTTTACTAGTGGACAGGACACTATAGTTCATTTATGTAAGTGAGGATAGCAAAATAAAGTAAACTGTGACAAATCATACCCAAAAATTCTTCATACAGTGGACTACCAGTAAAATTGATAAAAATTTGGGTCCAAAAATTCACACAACATCATCTGTGAAACATGGAGCAGTTTGATGATGAGCATGTCTTCCAGTGGCTCTGGGTTACTGGTGTTTAGTGATGATGAGACAGAAGACAAAGTAACGGTATCGGGCGAGTACTGGAAAAAGTGGTATCGGTGCATCCCTAATAATAAGGAATGTTTCTTTTAGTGTTGGGCGATATGGTCATTTTTCAAATCGTCATATGGCCAGTCCGTGAGATCGCCAATAGACGATAATATCGTGCATGGGTGGGTGGGGAGTCTCTCTCTTACCCCCACCCATCCATGCACGATATTATCGTGCATGGGTGGGTGGGGGTAAGAGAGAGACTCCCTGTACTTGACATAGGCTATTTAGCGTTTTAAACCGTGCACACGAGAGAGAGAGAGAGAGAGAGAGGGAGCCTATGGAAGCACCACAACTAAATAATATATACTTTCAAACATACTGATAAACTAACATGTTAAATACAAAAATATTTAAAACGGCTAGTTCATATATATTCGGATACAACAGTCATACATCGCTATTAGGACCGCGCGTCCTGTGACAAGGATAACTGACGTTATCAGTCTAAAAGGTCTGCAAAATCAGTCAACGGCGAGAGAGAGAGAGAGAGAGAGAGGGAGCCTATGGAAGCACCACAAATCTAAATAATATACTTTCAAACATACTGATAAACTAACATGTTAAATACAAAAATATTTAAAATGGCTAGTTCATATATTCGGATACAACAGTCTTACATCGCTGTTAGGATCGCTCGTCCTGTGACAAGTTTGCCGCATCAACGCACAGAAGTTATCAGTCTAAAAGATCTGCAAAATCAGTCAATGGTGAAAATCAAAAGTAGATTTATTTTAAAGACCAACAGTTTAACACTAAATATTGGACATAAATGA